GAAGTAATACAGTGGACCTTCGACCAACAATGGCATCGATTAACGATAAATCTGACTAGCGATACATTTTAACGCAAAAATTTTGCCTCGACTAGCGCTTAAAAACCCGACCAGCGCTATTCATTCCGTCCACTTTGGCCTGAGCGCGCCTCACTTGTCCCTTTGGTGCCAGTGTTTACAAGCCAGCCAGCCACCGCGGTCGCTTCCAAACATACAACTGGAACATTTCATATTATCACAGCCTTTTTAGTGATTGCACCTGTAAAATAAGTCACCATGGGCCCCAAGAAAGCTTCTAGTGCCAACCCTACAGCAAAAACGGTGAGAATTACTATGGAGATGAAGAAAGAGATCATTGATAAATATGAAAGTGGAGTGCGTATCTCTGAGCTGGTCAGGTTGTATAATAAACCCCAATCAACCATCGCTACTATTGTGGGCAAGAAAACGGCAATCAAGGAAGCTGTTCTTGCCAAAGGTGCAACTATGTTTTCGAAACTGAGATCGCAAGTGATAGAAGATGTTGAGAGACTTTTATTGGTGTGGATATAACGAGAACAGATAGCAGGAGACAGCATCTCTCAAGCGATCATATGTGAAAAGGCTAGGAAGTTGCATGACGATTTAATTAGAAAAATGATGTGAGTGAATTTAAGGCCAGCAAAGGTTGGTTTGAGAGATTTAAGTAGCGTAGTGGCATTCATAGTGTGATAAGGCATGGTGAGGCTGCCAGTTCGGACCACAAATCGCCTGAAAAATATGTGCAGGACTTCAAGGAGTACATAGACAGTGAAGGACTGAAACCTGAACAAGTGTTTAATTGTGACGAAACAGGCCTGTTTTGGAAGAAAATGCCAAGCAGGACGTACATTACTCAGGAGGAAAAGGCACTCCCAGGACATAAGCCTATGAAAGACAGGCTTACTCTGTTGATGTGTGCCAATGCTAGTGGTGATTGCAAAGTGAAGCCTTTATTGGTGTATCACTCTGAAACTCCCAGTGTGTTCAGGAAAAACAATGTCCTCAAGGCTAATTTGTGTGTGCTGTGGAGGGCAAACAGTAAGGCATGGGTCACTAGGGATTTTTTTCTATGACGGGTTTTACATCATGCATTTGCCCCCAATGTGAAAAATTACTAATTGAAAAGAAATTAGACCTTAAGTGCCTCCTGGTATTAGACAGTGCTCCTGGTCATCCTTCGGACTTGGCAGAGCGACTTTCTAGGGACATGAGCTTCATTAAGGTGAAGTTTTTGCCTCCTAATACCACTCCTCTCCTGCAGCCCATGGACCAGCAGGTTATTTCCAACTTCAAGAAACTGTACAAAAAAGCTATGTTTGAAAGGTGCTTTGTAGTGACCTCAGAAACTCAACTGACTCTAAGAGAGTTTTGGAAAGATCATTTCACCATCCTCAATTGTGTAAACATTATAGGTAAGGCTTGGGAGGAAGTGACTAAGAGGACATTGAACTCTGCTTGGAAAAAACTGTGGCCAGAATGTGTAGACAAAAGGGATTTTGAAGGGTTTGAGGCTAACCCTGAGAATCCTATGCCAGTTGAGGAATCCATTGTGGCATTGGGGAAGTCCTTGGGGTTGGAGGTTAGTGGGGAGGATGTGGAAGAGTTGGTGGTGGAGGACAGTGAAGAACTAACCACTGATGAGCTGCTAGATCATCTTCAACAGCAAGAGGGCACACCTGAGGAAACTGCTTCGGAGGAGGGGGGAGAGAAATTGAAGAAGTTGCCTACTTCTAAGATAAAGGAAATGTGCGCAAAGTGGCTTGAAATGCAAACCTTTTTTGATGAAAATCACCCTGACACAGCTACTGCAAGCCGTGCTGGTGACTATTACACTGACACTGTTGTGAACCACTTTAGGAAAGTCATAAAGGAACGAGAGGTACAGGCCTCTATGACAGATATGTTGTGCGACAGAAGTCCAGTGACTCTGAAGCTGGTCCTAGTGGCATTAAAAGAACAAGGGAAGTAACCCCAGAAAAAGACTTGCTCCCTCAAGTGCTAATGGAAGGGGATTCCCCTTCTAAACACTAACACCTCTCCCCTCCTCCCATCCCATCAGTCATCACCAGATCTTCAATAAAGGTAAGTGTCATGTAACTGTGCATGTAATCTTCAGTTTGTGTGTATTAAAATTAATATTTCATGTGGTAAAAAAATTTTTTTTTCAATACTTTTGGGTGTCTTGCACGGATTAATTTGATTTCCATTATTTCTTATGGGGAAAATTAACTTGACTAACGATAATTCTGACTAACGATGAGCTCTCAGGAACGGATTAATATTGCTGGTCGAGGGTCCACTGTATTTCCCATAAGAACTAATGTAAACACAATTAATCCCTTCCAGACACCTAAAAATATTAACAAAAATTTTTTTAAAGATTAACAATGACAAATAAATATAAAGCACAAATTTTAATGATAACTGAACTTGACATACCTTTATTGAAGATTCTTGCTGGCATATTGAAGAAGGCAAGGAGGGGAGTGAGAGGAAAGCTTATTTTTTGGAAAGGAAATCCCCCTCCATAAGGACTTCAGGTATCAAGTCCCTCTCTGGGGTTACTTCCCTTCATTTTCTACTGGCACTAGGACCAGCTTGAGAGTCACTGCACCCCTGTCGCACAAAAAAAACTGTTCAGAGAGGTCTGTTTCTGGTGTCTCTTTAAGATTTGCCTGAAGTGGGACAAGGTTTTGTCACTGAACATGTTGCAGATATGGCTTGTTTGAGCTTGGTGAGGGTAATATGTCTCCACAAAACTTTGCACCTCCTTCCACTTTGCCCAAATGTCCTTAATCACTGAAGAAGGCACATTCTCCCCTCTCTCTTCCTCCTCCTCTGAAGCAATTTCCTCAGCTGTGGTCTGTTGCTCTTGAAGATGAAGGTCTTGCAGCTCTTCCCTGTGATCCTCCACCAACTCTTCCACATCCTCCCCACTCACATCCAACCCCATAGACTTTCCCAAAGCCACAATAGATTCCACAACAGGCAGAGGGTCGACTGGGTCAGGGTCAGGGTCAGGGTCAGGGTCAGGGTCAGGGTCAGGGTCAGGGTCAGGGTCAGGATCAGGATCAGGATCAGCCTCAAACCCTTCAAAATCCTTCTCTTGGACACATTCAATTTTCTCCACGCAGAGTTCGAAGTCCTGGAAGTCACTACCTGCCAAGCCATACCTATAAGGCTTATGCAATGGAGGATATTGAAGTGATTCCTCCAGAACTCTCTTTGGGTCATGTCAGTGTCCAAGGTAACTTCAAGGCACCTTTGAAACATTGCTTCATGTAGAGTTTTTGAAGTTAGAAATGACCTGCTGGTCCATGGGCTGGATGAGAGGAGCGGTGTTAGGAGGCAAGAACTTCACTGTTATAAAACTTAACTCCATAGACAATTGGTCTACCAAGTTTGGAGGATGAGCAGGAGCACAGTTCAGTACCAGGAGGCACTTGAGTGGCAATTTATTTTCCTAGAGGCATTTTTTCACACTCGGGCCAAACACTTCATGGACCCAGTCAATGAAAATTTGCCTTGTGACCCATTTATTATTATTAGCTTTCCACAACACACACAATTTACTCTTGATGACACTGTTTTTTCTTGAACACTCTGGGATTTTCAGAGTGATACACAAGTAAAGGCTTCACTTTGAAATCCGCACTAGCGTTACCACAGAACAAGAGAGTAAACCTATCCTTCATAGGCTTGTGTCCCGGCAGTGCCTTTTCTTCCTACGTGATGTAGGTCCTCTTTGGCATTTGCTTCCAAAAGAGGCCTGTTTCATCACAATTCAACACTTATCGGGGAGGAATCCTTCAGCCTCTATGTAATCCTTGAATTCATGCACGAATTCTTCAGCCGCATGTTTGTCTGAACTTGCAGCCTCACCATGCCTTACAACACTGTGTATGCCACTATGCTTCCTGAATCTGTCAAACCAGCCTTTGCTGGCCTTAAATTCACTAACAGCAGCACTCATTCCAGGCATTTTCTTTACGAGATCCACATGCAACTGCCTTGCCTTTTCACAAATGATCGACTCCACAACACTATTTCCTGCTAACTGTTTATCGTTGATCCACACCAACAATAACTTCTCCACATCTTCAATTATTGATGATTTTTGTTTCATTAGCATATTTACCCCTTTCACAACATTATATTCCTTGATTTCTACTTTCTTTGTCAGGATGGATGTGATTGTTGATTTGGATTTTCCATACATCCTGGCCAGCTCTAGGACATGTACGCCACTTTAATATTTTGCTACAATTTCTTTCTTTAATTCAATTGTTTCTCACTTTCTTTACCAAAGGGCTGGCACTAGGAACTTTCTTTGGCCCCATGGTGGCATGTTTCGCAGTCACACTCAAATAACCACAAAAAATGTTTGGATGAATGCATGGAATGTTGCTCACTCACCCAGAGACACAGCAAGACTGACTCACAAATGCAGGGGAGTGGCGGGCAGACACATCCAATACGGCCGATTTCCGAGTTGCCAGCCAAAATCCAGGACAGAATTTTGGCCATAAAAGCAGCCAAAATCAGATTTGGTCGATATCCGCATTGGCTGATATCCAGGGTTCCGCTGTACTTTACACTACTTGTTGCTATTTTTAACTCTTATACTGATGTAATGGACACCCCTATTAGTCTGTTATATTGAAGGTTTACTGTAATTAGATTTAATTTGAGGAAGGAGGTAAGGGGTCCAATTCCTTGGATCAAGGACCCCCTTCACCATAACAAGGGACTCTCTTGAAGGGGGACGACAAATGATGAAACACTGAATTATTCATCTCTTAAGAATGTTATGTAAGGGTGTCAGTTCAATTTTTCTAACTGCAATACATTACTAGGGAATAAAGATTAGATCTACTCTAATAAGTTACTATTATTATTAATGAAAATAAAAAATCTAAATCTAAAGAAAGTAAAGTACAGCTCATTAATGTGATCTAGCAAAAAAAAAAAGCACTCACTTTGTTATCTTGGTGTATCTTTTGTATCCATTCCTCTGGGGCCTAAACAAAAAAAATACATTAAAACAAAGTATATTTACTTGAGACTTGTATAACTACTTTCTAAGATCTACATTACTACACTGTAGATGAAGCAGATGAAGTTCAAGGAAGAGATATGAGCAACTATTAGTAGAAAAGTGGAGTAGAGAGTACAGCTACTGTAATTAGGTCAAAGGAGTATGGGGAAGATTTAACCCTTTGACTGTTTTCGATGTATAAATACGTCTTACGAGCCAATGTTTCTGACGTATATATACTCAATAATTCTAGCGGCTTCAAATCAAGCGGGAGAAAGCTGGTAGGCCCACATGTGAGAGAATGGGTCTGTGTGGTCAGTGTGCACCACATAAAAAAAATCCTGCAGCACACATTGCGTAATGAGAAAAAAAAAACTCTGATCGTTTTTTTGGAATAAAACGCCGACTTTGAGGTGTATTTTCGTATAGTATTTATCGTTGTATTCGCGTTTTCATGGTCTTAGGTGATAAAATGGAAAACATATTACAGAAATAGAGATGATTTTCATTACTTTGATGATGAAAACGACCTTGAAACTGAGCTCAAAGTAGCGGAAATGTTCGACTTTTACCAATGTTCAGAAGTAAATAAATCACACCACACATCCAATACACGTCAACTGGGGAGTCTAATATTCTTTCACTAGTGCACTGATATTATTTATACCATTTTTGCAATAATGCAGTAGTCTGCATATCAGTAAATTTTGTATTTTTTTGTATGAATAAAAAATCAAAATAGAAAGCAATAATAATATAAGAGGGGCCTAGAGATGTGACTAATGAACAGAGCATATGTTATTTTAGTGCCACGAATGTCTACCTTGTTTATTCTGGACCCTATTTTGAAATTGGCATCTTTTTTAGTTTGCGTGAAATTGGCCAAATTGCCAATTTCTGACCACCATATTGGGTAGTCCAAATTAGTAAATGAGAGGTTTCTTGTACTCAGCTGATAGATAAAATGGAGTTCTAAAGAAATAGCTATGCGTTTGGTCAACTGGCACAATGGAATTGGCTGAAAATAGGGCTCAAAGTTGGCGAAATCGCCGATACGCATATGTCGCCGAGACCGCTAACTTCGCGGGAGCATAATTCCATGAGTTTTCGACCAAATTTCGAACTTTTGGTGTCATTACCATCGGGAAAAGATTCTCTATCATTTCATAAGAAAAAATCATTTTTTTTTTCAAAAATTGAGCGACATAGATTGACAGTTTCAGAAAGGGGCCTGAAACGGTCAAAGGGTTAAGAATGAAATGTTAGAGTGGACAACAGAAGTCTGTAGGTACAGGAGGGTGGGAGCAGGTGGATAAAGGTACAATTGGTAGAAAGAAGACATAAAGAAGGTCCTTAGGAATATGAGGGGATTTTACTGTAAAAAAAAAATATAGGGAAGACGGAGAACTGTATATGGAGGGAAAAAGAGGTAAAATTAGCCCTTTCAGGGTCCAGAGGCCAAATTTTAAAGTGTGCACCAGGATCCAAGAATTTTCAAAAAAAATTTTTGTTATTTTTTCTTATGAAATGGTAGAGAATCTTTTTCTGGAGGTAATAAAACAAAAAGTATGAAATTTGATGGAAAATTGACGAAATTATGCTCTTGCAAATTTTGATGTGTCAGCGATATATATGCACTGGCAATTTTGCCAACTTTGACTCCCATTTTAGGCCAATTACATTATTCCAGTTGACCAAATTCTTAGCTATTTCACTAGTATTACTTCTATTCTATCGATTGAGCACAAGAAATCACCAAGTCAACTGTTTCAGCTACAAAATAAAGTGATCAGAAATTGGTAATTTGGCCAACTTAACGCAAAGTTCAAAATATTCCAATTTCAAAATAGGGTCCAGAATAAATAATGCAGGCATTCCTGGCACTACACTAACATTTCCTCTGTTCATTAGTTATGTTTTCAGGCTTTACAAATGAATTCCATTTTGAATTTTTATTCACATAATGAATTTTTATTCAAACCAAAAAATAGAAGATTTACTGCTATGCAATATTGTAATAATTGTATAAATAATATCACCACATTTGTGAACATATATTAGACCCACTAGTTGGTGTGTATTAGATATGTGAGGTCATTTGTTTACTCTTGAACATTGGCAAAAATTTAACATTTCCGCTATTTTGAGCTCGGTTTCAAGCCATTTCCATTATTAAAACCAATCAAAATCATCTCTATTTCTGTAATATATCTATCATTCTATCATATGAGACCAAGAAATCACAAATACAACTATAAAAAACATACGAAAAAACAATGCAAGGTTGGTATTTTAATCGAAAATTATGGTCTCAGTTTTTTTTTCTCTCATTATGCACTGTGTGCTGCAGGATTTGTTTTATGTGGTGCACACATACCACATAGATGTATTCTCTCATATCTAGGCCCAAATTTACCACTCACAGCTTATCAGAGTGAGGTGAGCTCATGGCATAGATCTACAGTTTGGACCCTCAACTCAAAGCCTTGGAACTAGGGCACGGACCCTGAAAGCGTTATTAATAGTGAGAGAACACAAAATGAGAGCTAATGAAAAAATGGGATACTCCTTATCAGCAAATTTTGTTGAGAATAAGGAAATTTTAGAAAGAGATTAATGAATTAAAAAAAACTTGGAAAGCAAGTGAATTTGGCAGATAAAAACAAAACAGGGAAGCTAGATAGGAAAAGGGAGGTACCGGACACATGGATAAATTATTTTGAGGAACTCTTCAGTGTTAATGACGGGAAAAAATGGTAGTAACAGCACACCTTGGACAGGAAGGAATAACATCTGGCAGGAGTAAGAAAGTGCCAGAGTTAAAAGTGGGGAAAAGTGCATCAGACAGTGGGTAGAATGAAAAGAGTGGATAAAGCAGCTGAGACATATGGGACTAAGAGTTAGATATGTAAAATCAGTTGAGGATCTAGTTTTTGGAGTGGTTAGTGTACTTGTTCAGTATATGTATGAAAGAAGAAAAGATACAGTACTTAAAGACTGGCAGTGGTATAAGAGACAAAGGGACAAAAAAACAAAATACACAAATTATAGAGGAATAAGCCTGCTGGGTATACTGGGTAAAATGTAGATCATAATCATTGCTGAAAGAAGTTTGGGTTGAGAGAGAGAATCAGATTCCAGAAGAAAAATGACGATTTAGGAATAGTAGGGGATATGCACTGAAGCATATAAGTGAACAATACTATAGTGCTTTTCATATACGTGTATATGGATTCAGAAAAAGCATATCACAGGGTGGATAGGGAACCAATGTGGTAGATGTTACAAATGTATGAAATAGGTAATAGGTTACTATTGTGCAGAGTGTGAGGCTAAAGTTAGGGTATGTAGGAGTGAAGGGGACGCCTTAGACAAAGATGTATGATGTCATCAGTTTAATTTATGGACCGAGTTGTCAAAGAAGTGAATGCTAAGGTATTGGGCAAACATGTGGGCTTAAAAGATGATAAATCTGATATGAAGTAGGAGCTGTCAGTTTCTCTTACCCAATACCCAATGGAAAATTTTATGGAAAATTCTGGAGAGAAGTTGCCAAGGTTGGTGGATGAGTATGAGAGGGTGTGTAAAAGAAGGAAATTAAAAGTGAACAGAAAAAAAAGGCAAGGTTATGAGAGTAACAAAAATTTTAGGGCACTCGGTGAAAACTGGATATCAGATTAGATGAATAGTGTATGGAGGAAGTGAATGTATTAGGATATTTGGAAGTGGACATGTCAGCACAAGGGTCAATGGAAGATAAGGTGATCCATAAAATAGACAAAGGGGAAAAAAAAAAAAAGATGTGCAGGGGAAATACAAGTTTGTCCATGGAGGCAAAAATGGGGAATGTATAAGAATATAGAAGTACCAACCCTTTATGGGTACGATGCAAGTGGTATAAATGTAGTGAGGAAGCTAAAAGCCAAGAGCAATGTGTGGTGGAAATATTAGGCCAAAAATTCAGAGTGTAGAAATTAGAAAATGTAAGGCTACCAAAGGTATAATTCAGAGCATGGAGGAGGGGCTGTTGAACTACTCTGGGAATTTAGAGTTTAAATTTAATAAATATACAAAACATCCACACTAACTACTGCACATACTATATATATGCAGGACATTAAATACAAATATATACCAAGCCTTAGCAACAAAATACATAAGTACATTACACAAATGCCTTTTTTGATGTCTACATGTTTAACTCAACCTGAGTGAAAACTCAAGACACAGCAAAATGTCCCAAAACCTTGAAATATACTACCAGAAGATTCTAAAATTTCCCCATCTACTAATAGTTTTATAAATATTGTTGAAAAGTGCCTCCTGAACCTGTTATGTATTATACTCTAATATAAATATCAAACATATCCTTTTTATAACCTGCCTACATAGTTTCTGTCCAGCATTCACTATCATACACTTCTTGTCTCAACTAGATTTCTACCCCAAATTCTTTTTTACTCCCTTCATTTTGACAGCACTGTTTTAATAATCAGATATATTTGTTTTTTACTATATAATTAGTGATGTTACATTTAGCATTTAAGCAATCCAACCTCTTCATCAACATTTAACAGTTCCTCAAAATATTCCCTTCATTCTCCCCATCTAATAACTCCCCTCTTCTGTTTTTAACTATTAAACCCATTCATTCCCTAGGCTTTCTCAATTTATTAATCTCAATTCAAAACTTTTTCATATTCTCATCAAAATTTATTGAGAGAACCTCACCCACTTTCCTTTTACACTCCCTCACCACTCTTTGAACCTCTCTTTTACTCTTCATATACTCCACCCTCCTGATATCACTTCTGCTTTGTAAAAATCTCTCATATGCTAATTTTTTCCCTTACCATTCTCTTTACCTCACCCTTCTGCCAATCTCTCCTCTTCCCTCCTGCACCCACCCTACTATATCCACAAACTTCTACTGCACACTTTAATGCTGCATTCTTAAATCTATCCCATACCTCTTCAAACTCCTCATTACCTATATACTCTCACTAGCCCATCTTTCTCTCAACAGCTGCATGTATCTTACCCTAACTACCTCCTCCTTTAATTTATAAATTTTCATTTCTCTCTTACTCAGTGATGCCATTCTCCTTGTACTCCATCTACCTCTTACTCTTAGTTTTATTGCAATAAACATTGAAAATCAATGAGCTGAAAGAACAATTTACCCAGTGGATTTTGCTCATTATTTTAAAAACTGTTGTATTGAGGGTTTTAATATAAAACAAATGTATTCGTAGGAATGGAAAAAATCAGCAGTATCTTTTACTTTAATAATCATAAAAACACACACTATGCTTTATGCTTTATATGATATAATACTGTATACATACCTAAGTCCAATAGTGTTCAGTTTTATTATTTCTCTGAACAGTACTGATACTCTACTAAACTGAATACAATGCCTAAATGATCAAATGCTTAAGGCATGGCTGTTCAATACTCTCCTTTTAAGAAAGACAGATACAGATATTGACAACCAATGTAGAGAGACCCCTCACATTCTCAAAACAATACTGTACTGTACATAAAAAAATAACACTAATATATCACCTTGGACTTTGGATCCCAGCCAATGATCACAGCCTTGTATCCAAAGAGGCTGTGCTTCACAACTTGACCAATGCGCCACTTAAGCCCCTGTGGACGAATGCTACGAGGTTTTGGAGACATGCCAAAAGAGCCATCAGGACTGCGAAAATTCCACACTTCAACAGCTGGGCATTCACCAAGAGGATCATCATCATCCAAGTTGTACCAATGGCTATAATCTGTAAGTTGTGTGTAGTGTAAGCAAAATTTAAAGTTAACATGAAAAATCTAGACCAGAAGCCAGCTTCTTTTAACCTTTAGGCTACCAATGATGTAATCATGTGTTTACTTGGGAAACCATCACTGACGTACGGTGGAAGAAGGCCAACTTGTTAAAAATACAGTGGACCCCCGCATAACGATCACCTCCGAATGCGACCAATTATGTAAGTGTATTTATGTAAGTGCATTTGCACGTGTATGTTTGGGGGTCTGAAATGGACTAATCTACTTCACAATTTTCCTTATGGGAACAAATTCGGTCAGTACTGGCACCTGAACATACTTCTGGAGTGAAAAAATATCGTTAACCGGGGGTCCACTGTATATGGAGAAGTGGAACAAGAATCTTTCCTCCGTAAGCCATGCATGTTGTAAAAGTCAACTAAAATGCCGGGAACAATGGGCTGGTAACCCCTTTTCCTGTAAAGATTACTAAAAAGAATAAGAAGAAAATTGTCAAAGTGGGAAGTCTGAATGTATGTGGATGTTGTGCAAATGATAAGAAAGAGATGACTGTGGATGTTATGAATGAGAAGAAGCTGGATGTCCTGTCTTTAAGTGAAACAAAGCTGAAGGGGGTGGGAGAGTTTCAGTGGAGAGGAATAAATGGGATTAGGTCAGGGGTTTCAAATAGAGTTAGAGCTAAAGAAGGAGTAGCAATAATGTTGAAGGATAAGATATGGCAGGAAAAGAGGGACTATAAATGTATTAATTCAAGGATTATGTGGAGTAAAATAAAGGTTGGATGTGAAAAGTGGGTTATAATAAGTGTATATGCACCTGGAGAAGAGGTAAGTATAGAGGAGAGAGAGAGAGAGATTTTGGGAAATGTTAAGTGAATGGGTGGGGAGTTTTGAACCAAGTGTGAGAGTACTTGTGGTTGGGGATTTCAATGCTAAAGTGGGTAAAAATGTTGTGGAGGGAGTAGTAGGTAAATTTGGGGTGCCAGGGGTAAATGTACATGGGGAGCCTTTAATTGAGCTATGTGTAGAAAGAGATTTCGTAATAAGTAATACATATTTTATGAAAAAGAGGATAAATAAATATACAAGGTATGATGTAGCAAGTAATGAAAGTAGTTTGTTAGATTATGTATTGGTGGATAAAAGGTTAATGGGTAGGCTCCAGGATGTACATGTTTATAGAGGGGCAACTGATATATCGGATCATTATTTAGTTGTAGCTACAGTTAGAGTAAGAGGTAGATGGGACAAGAGGAAGGTGGCAACAACAAGTAGGAGGGAAGTGAAAGTGTATAAACTAAGGGAGGAGGAAGTTCGGGCGAGATGTAAATGACTATTGGCAGAAAGGTGGGCTAGTGCAAAGATGAGTAGTGGGGGGGGGGGGGGGGGGTTGAAGAGGGTTGGATGAGTTTTAAAAATGCAGTATTAGAATGTGGGGTAGAAGTTTGTGGTTATAGGAGGGTGGGGCAGGAGGAAAGAGGAGTGATTGATGGAATGATGAAGTAAAGGGTGTGATAAAAGAGAAAAAGTTAGCTTATGAGAGGTTTTTACAAAGCAGAAGTGTTATAAGAAGAGCAGAGTATATGGAGAGTAAAAGAAAGGTGAAGAGAGTGGTGAGATAGTGCAAAAGGAGAGCAGATGATAGAGTGGGAGAGGCACTGTCAAGAAATTTTAATGAAAATAAGAAAAAATTTTGGAGTGAGCTAAACAAGGTAAGAAAGCCTAGGGAACGTATGGATTTGTCAACTAAAAACAGAGTAGGGGAGTTAGTAGATGGGGAGAGGGAGGTATTAGGTAGATGGCGAGAATATTTTGAGGAACTTTTAAATGTTGAGGAAGAAAGGGAGGTGGTAATTTCATGCACTGGCCAGGGAGGTATACCATCTTTTAGGAGTGAAGAAGAGCAGAATGTAAGTGTGGGGGAGGTACGTGAGGCATTACGTAGAATGAAAGGGGGTAAAGCAGCTGGAACTGATGGGATCATGACAGAAATGTTAAAAGCAGGGGAGGATATAGTGTTGGAGTGGTTGGTACTTTTGTTTAATAAATGTATGAAAGAGGGGAAGGTACCTAGGGATTGGTGGAGAGCGTATAGTCCCTTTATATGAAGGGAAGGGGGACAAAAGAGATTGTAAAAATTATAGAGGAATAAGTTTATTGAGTATATCAGGAAAAGCATACGGTAGGGTTATTATTGAAAGAATTAGAGGTAAGACAGAATGTAGGACTGTGGATGAGCAAGGAGGTTTCAGAGTGGGTAGGGGATGTGTAGATCAAGTGTTTACATTGAAGCATATATGTGAACAGCATTTAGATAAAGTTAGGGAAGTTTTTATTGCATTTATGGATTTAGAAAAGGCATATAATAGAGTGGATAGGGGAGCAATGTGGCAGATGTTGAAAGTATATAGAATAGGTGGTAAGTTACTAAATGCTGTAAAGAGTTTTTATGAGGATAGTGAGGCTCAGGTTAGGGTGTGTAGAAGAGAGGGAGACTACTTCCCGGTAAAAGTAGGTCTTAGACAGGGATGTGTAATGTCACCATGGTTGTTTAATATATTTATGAATGGGGTTGTAAAAGAAGTAAATGCTAGGGTGTTCGGGAGAGGGGTGGGATTAAATTATGGGGAATCAAATACAAAATGGGAATTGACACAGTTACTTTTTGCTGATGATACTGTGCTTATGGGAGATTCTAAAGAAAAATTGCATAGGTTAGTGGATAAGTTTGGGAGTGTGTGTAAAGGTAGAAAGTTGAAAGTGAACATAGAAAAGAGTAAGGTGATGAGGGTATCAAATGATTTAGATAAAGAAAAATTGGATATCAAATTGGGGAGGAGGAGTATGGAAGAAGTGAATATTTTCAGGTACTTGGGAGTTGACGTGTCAGCAGATGGATTTATGAAGGATGAGGTTAATCATACAACTGATGAAGGAAAAAAGGTGAGTGGTGCGTTGAGGTACATGTGGAGTCAAAAAACATTATCTATGGAGGCAAAGAAGGGAATGTATGAAAGTATAGTAGTACCAACACTCTTATATGGGTGTGAAGTTTGGGTTATAAATGCAGCAGTGAGAAGGCGGTTGGAGGCAGTGAAGATGTCCTGTCTAAGGGCAATGTGTGGTGTAAATATTATGCAGAAAATTCGGAGTGTGGAAATTAGGAAAAGGTGTGGAGTTAATAAAAGTATTAGTCAGAGGGCAGAAGAGGGGCTGTTGAGGTGGTTTGGTCATTTAGAGAGAATGGATCAAAGTAGAATGACATGGAAAGCATACAAATCTATAGGGGAAGGAAGGCGAAGTAGGGGTCGTCCTTGAAAGGGTTGGAGAGAGGGGTAAAGGAGGTTTTGTGGGCAAGGGACTTGGACTTCCAGCAAGCGTGCGTGAGCATGTTAGATAGGAGTGAATGGAGACGAATGGTACTTGGGACCTGACGATCTGTTGGAGTGTGAGCAGGGTAATATTTAGTGAAGGGATTCAGGGAAACCTGTTATTTTCATATAGTCAGACTTGAGTCCTGGAAATGGGAAGTACAATGCCTGCACTTTAAAGGAGGGGTTTGGGATATTGGCAGTTTGGAGGGGTATGTTGTGTATCTTTATACGTATATGCTTCTAAACTGTTGTATTCTGAGCACCTCTGCAAAAACAGTGATTATGTGTGAATGTGGCAAAAGTGTTGAATGATGATGAAAGCATTTTCTTTTTGGGGATTTTCTTTCTTTTTTGGGTCAACCTGCCTCGGTGGGAGACGGCCAACTTGTTGAAAAAAAAAAAATAAATATATATATATATATATACAGTGGACCCCCGCATAACGATTACCTCCGAATGTGACCAATTATGTAAGTGTATTTATGTAAGTCCGTTTGTACGTGTATGTTTGGGGGTCTGAAATGGACTAATCTACTTCACAATATTTCTTATGGGAACAAATTCGGTCAGTACTGGCACCTGAACATACTTCTGGAGTGAAAAAATATCGTTAACCGGGGGTCCACTGTGTGTATATATATATATATATATATATATAATATAGGGAGGTACCACCTCTAGAACTGTTATAGGGACCCTCATCCTCAGAGAAAAGAATAAACTTGCTTCAGGGAAAACTCAAGATTCTCCCTGAAGCTGTTTGAGAATTTTCTCCTACCACCCCCTATATTATATATATATATATATATATATATATATATATATATAATATATATATATGTACAGTGGTCCCTCGTTTTTCGTAATTAATCCGTTCCTGGAGGAGCTACTATAAACGAAATTTACGATTTGCGAATCAATTTTCCCCATAAGAAATAATGTAAATACAATTAATCCGTTCCTGACACCCAGAAGTAATAAAACAAAAAAAATTTTTACATGAAATATACATGTAGTACATAAACAATACAATGGAAAATGAATGAAAGAAACATTAACAGCATAACACTTACCTTTATTGGAGATTCTTCTTAGTGTATGGGAGACTGGAGGAAGAGAGAGATTGGATTGTTTACAGTTTGGAAGGGGAATCCCCTTCCAGCAACACCTCAGGTACCAATTGCTTCTCTGGGGTTGCTTCTCTTCTCTGTTTCTTAATGCCACTAGGACCACCTTGAGTCACTCTAGTCCTGTCTCACAAAGTAACTGTGGAGAGAGCTCTGTTTCTGGCGTCTCTTTAACACTTCCCTAGAATGGCCCAAGACTTTGTCACTGTACATATTTCTCACCTTCTTTACCACAGGTTTGGCACTAGGAGCTTTCTTTGGAGCCATGGTAGCTTATTTAGTACTTGCAAGCACTAAAATGAGTGGAATATTATGAAATATTTTGTAGGAGCACTTGAGGGGACCTTCACTCACTGGTAAACAATGCCAGACTGGCTGGGTAGGGAGGCCTCCCCAGCTCACACCGTGCGTACGCGTCCCGGACGAACTACTATTTGCGAGTCAACCTATGAAAAACGAGTCCATGTTTATACGAAAATACCCCTATGATTGG